AAATAAAAGTGAAAACATATCAGTCCAAAACCTTTGGGATGCAACGAAGGCAATTCTAAGAGGGAAGTATATTGCAATATAGGCCTACCTCAAGAAGCAAGAAAAGTCTCAAAAATACAACCTAACTTCACACCTAAAGAAAGTAGAAAGAGAACAGCAAATAAAGCCTAAACCCAGCAGAAGAAGGGAAATAATTAAAATTAAAGCAGAAATAAACAACATAGGAAAAAAAGTAAAACAGATCAGTGAAACTAAGAGCTGGTTCTGTGAAAGAATTAATAAAATTGATAAACCCCCAGCCAGACTTATCCCAAAAAGAAAGGACCCAGATAAATAAAATCATGAATGAAAGAGGAGAGATCAAAACCAACACCACAGAAATCCAATCAATCATAAGAGAATATTATGAAAAAAATATGTGCCCACAAACTGAGCAATCTGGAAGAAATGGAGGAATTCCTACAAACATACTAACTGCCAAAACTGAAACAGGATGAAATAGAAAATTTGAGTAGATCCACAACCACCAAAGAAATGGAATCAGGAATCAAAAATTTACAAACAAACAAACGTCCAGGGCCAGATGGCTTCCCAGGGAAATTCTACCAGACATTTGAAAAAGAGTGTATACCTAGTCTTCTCAAACTGTTCCAAAAAATGCAAAAGGAAGGAAAACTTCCAAACTCATTCCACCGAGCCAACATTACTTTGATTCCAAAACCAAAGACCTCACTGAGAAAGAGAACTACAGGTCAATATCCCTGATGAACATGGATGCAAAAATTCTCAATAAGATACTAGTAAATTGAATCTAAAAGTACATTAAAGGAATTATTCACCACAATCAGGAGATATTTATTCCTGGGCTGCAGGGGTGGTTTAACATCTGCAAAATCAATCAATGTTGATGCACCACATTAATAAAAGAAAGGATAAGAATCATATGATCCTCTTAATAGATGCAGAAAAAGTATTTGACAAAACACAGCATCCATTCTTGATAAAAGCCCTCAGTCAAGTAGGGATAGATGGAACATATTTCAACATCATAAGTGCCTTATAGGAAAGACCTACAGTGAATATCATCCTCAATGGTGAAAAACTGAAAGCTTTTCCTCTACAGTTGGAACAAGACAAGGATGTTAACTCTCACCATTACTATTCAACATTGTACTGGAAGTCTTACCCTCAGTGATCAGACAACAAAAAGAAATAAAAGGCATCTGAATCAGCAGGGAAGAAGTCAAACTTTCACTATTTGCAGACATCCTACTCTATATAGAAAACCTGAATAAATTCACCAAAAATTTACTAGAACTAACACATGAATTCAGCAAAGTTGCAAGACATAAAGTCAACGTACAGAAATCTGTTGCATATCTATACACCAATAATGAAGTAGCAGAAAAAGAAACCAAGTATTTGATCCCATTTTAATTGCACCAAAAACAATAAGATACCTGGGAATAAACCTAATTGAAGAGGTAAAGATCTGTACTCTGAAAACTATAGAACACTTATGGAAGTAATTGAAGAGGACAAAAAGAAATGGAAAAACATTCCATGCTCATGAATTAGAAGAACAAACATGGTTCAAATGTCCATACTACTCAAAGCAATCTACACATTTAATACAATCCCTATCAAATACCAATAGCATTTTTCACAAAGCTAGAACAAATTTTAAAATTTGTACAGAACCACAAAAGACCCCAAAGAGCCAAAGCAGTCTTGAAAAAGAAAAGCAAATCTGGAGGCATTGTGATTCTGAACTTCAAGCTATATTACAAAGTTATAGTCATCAAGACAGTATGGTATTGGCCCAAAAACAGACACATGGATCAAGGGAACAGAATATAGAACCCAGAAATGAACCCACAACTATATGATCAACTAACCTTTGACAAATAAGGAAGGAATATCCAATGGAAAGCAGACAGTCTCTTCAATAAATAGTGTTGGGAAAACTGGACAGCAACATGCAGAAGAATGAAACTGGATCACTTACACCATACACAAAAATAAAATCAAAATGGATGAAAGACCTAAAAGTGAGACAGGAAACTATCAAAATCCTAGAGGAAAACAGAGGCAGCAACCTCTTTGACCTTGGCCATAGCAACTTCTTGCTAGACATATCGCTGGAGGCATGGGAAACAAAAGCAAAAATGAACTATTAGGACTTCATCAAGATAAAAAGCTTCTGCACAGTGAAGGAAACAATCAACATAACTAAAGGGCAGCCTACAGAATGGGAGAAGATATTTGCAAATAACATAGTATCAAAAATGTATAAAGAATGTATTAAACTCAACCCCCAGAAAACAAATAATCCTGTTAAGAAATGGGCAGAAGACATGAATAGACATTTTTCCAAAGAAGACATATAGATGGCTAACAGACACATGAAGAGATGCTCAATATCACTAATCATTATGGAAATACAAATCCATACCACGATGACTTCACACATCAGAATGGCTAAAATTAACAACATGAGAAACAACAGGTGTTGGTGAGGAGGCCAAGAAAGGGGAGCCCTTTTGCCCTGGTGGTGGGAATGCAAACTGAGGCAAACTACTCTGGAAAGCAGTATGGAGGTTCCTCAAAAAGTCAAAAATAGAACTACACTATAACCCAGCAATTGCACTATTAGGTATTTACCCAAAAGATACAAAAGTACAGATTTGAAGGAGTACATGCACCCCCATGTTTATAGCGACATTGTCAACAATAGTCAAACTATGGAAAGAGCCCGAGTGTCCATTGACTGATGTATGGATAAAGAAAAAGTGTTATATCTATACAAAGGACTATTACTCAGCCATCAAAAAGAATGAAATCTTGCTGTTTGCCATGATGTAGACAGATCTATAGTGTGCTATGCTAAGTGAAATAAGTCAGTCAGAGGAAGACAAATACTATGTGATTTCACTCATATGTGGAATTTAGGAAACAATACAGATGAACATGTGGGAAGGAAAAAGAAACAAGATGGGGAGGCAAACCATAAGAGTCTCTTAAAGTTAGAGAACAAACTGAGGGTTGATGGAAGGAGGTGGATGGAAGATGGGTTGAATGGGTGATGAGTATTAAGGAGGGCACTTGTTATGATGAGCAGTGGGTGTTACATGTAATTGTTGAATCACTAAATTCTACTCCTGAAAGCAATATATATTTTAACTAACTAGAATTTAGGTAAAAATTTGGGAAAAATAATGCAGAGCTTGTGCACAGCAAAGGAACCACCAGTAAAAGGAAAAGGCAAGCCGCTGAATGGGAGAAAATATTTGTAAATCACATATATGATAAAGGTAAATATCCAAAATATATAAAGAAGTCATATAACTCAATAGCAGAAAGCAAACAATCCAATTAGAAAATGGGCAAATAATCTGAATAGATCTTTTTCTAAGGAAGACATACATATGGTAAACAAGTATATGAAAAAGTACTGAACATCTATGATCATCAGGGAAATGCAAATCAAAACCACAATAAGATATCACTTCACACCTGTTAGAATAGCTATTATCAAAAAGAGAAGACATAAATGTTGATGAGGATATGAAGAAAAGGGAAAACTCATGCACTCTCAGTAGGAATGTAAATTGGTGCAACTACTATTGAAAACAGTGAGACTTTCCTTTAAAAATTAAAAATAGAACTACTATTTGAGCTAGCAATTCAACTTCTGTGTTTTTATCTGAGAAAAATGAAAACACTAGTTCAAAATCATATAGGCACCCTCATGTTCACTGAAACACCATTTACAATAGTCAAGATATGAAAACAACATTAAGTGTCAAGATATGGACACAACATAAGTGCTGTATGAATGAAGAAAATATGGTAGATGTATATGCAATGGAATATTATTCAGCCCTAAAAATGAAGGAAATCTTGCCATTTGCAACAACATGGAAGAACCTTAGGGCATTATACTACATAAAATGAGTCAGACAGAGAATGAGAAATACTATATGATCTCACATATATATGAATTTTTTAAAAAATGAGCTCATGCATATGCGGAGGGGGGAAATGGGCAAAATAGATGAAGGTGGTCAAAAGATACAAAATTCCAGTTATAAAATAAATAAGTTATCAGGATATCATGAACAGCATAGTGACTATAGTTAATATGCTATTTTGCCTATTTCCAAGTTGCTAAGAGTATAGACCTTAAAATTTCCCGTCATAAGAAAAAACTGTAATTATGTATGGTGACAGATATTAACTACACTTACTGTGGTGATCATTTTGTAATATATATAAATATCAAATCGTTATGTTGTACACCTGGAACTGATAAAATGTTATATGTCAATTATGTCTCAATTTTAAAAAAGAGAGAGAGAGACAACTCTGGTTGTCCTCTGGCTCTCTTTTAATTGCTTTTGTGTAATCAAGCCAGGTTCACGTCCTCTAAGAACTGTGAAATTGTCTAGGAAATGGTACCTAAAAATATCAGAAATTTGGGAAATATGACCACTTGTGGGAAAGGCAGCAGAATCTCAGTTCTGCCACTTCCCAGCTGTTTGACCTTGAGCAAGATTCTTCACCTCTCCAAACTTTTGTATCCTCATTTCTAAAATGAACCTAATAATGTGTTCCCTACCATACAGAGTTGTTGTAAGGATTGAAGTGTAATAGCATATTAACAGGATTAGTACTCTTAAAATCCAAGTAAGTTCCCTATTCTGTAGGCCACTAAGATTGTGCCCTATGGCTACTGTCTTCTTAATGCCTGTGATGGGTATCTTCTGAAAGCTACCTTTGAAAGGAACAGAGTTCAGAGCCCACCTTCAGGATAGTGCCTGCTGAAGTTGGGAAGGGTGTGTCCAGTTTGAGACAGGGGAATGTGTATGGCACGAAATGTCAGAAAGGGAGATGTTAACACTGGGGACTCAAATCTTGGAACTGGAACTCAAGACTAATCAATTGTATCCTTTTCTCTCCCCTCCCTTTTTTTCTCTGTTCTTCTCTTGTCGTTTCAGGTGCATGATGACTGCCGGGGACGGTTTTCCAAGGAATGCTGGTTTGGAAGTCATCGAACATCAGTCATTCCTCCCACTGCCCTCAGCGACCCTAAAGGAGATGGTGAGTACCCAAATTTCAACCTCAGAATGTATTTCACTGGGGAAGGAGGAAAGGTGATAAGACTGGGGAAATTTTAAAATTAATTTTAATTAAATTATTATTTTCAACCAGTAAATGGGGAAGTAGGAATGTGTATATATGTAGAGACAGCTCATGTTTCTTTTTAGACCTTTGGGATAATGACTGTTGATGTTTATGGCATATATGTATGTGGGCATGTTCTCTGTAGGCTTTGTCCCAATTGTTCCTGAATTATCAGACTTGATTCCAGTTTTTCATGATTTTCAGACACTAGATAATCCATAAAATAAGTTTGCTTGCATCCAGGTGGGCAGGGAAGAACTACATAAAGGCCCAGGTCATATTATTTTTAGAATGGACACTAACACCAAGGTCGACTCCAAATCTGAAACTAGCATGATTATTGCCCCAACATGCTCTGTTGATGCTTTGTCAATTCCTAAACTCAAGTGATTTATTGAGAATTCTTTCATAATGTGCTGAAAGGCTACAAAGAGATCCAAGATAAGAACATTTCCAGAGCTTATGGTTATTGTCGACCCAGGATATTGATATAGTATGACAATATATAGATTAAGGTAGCATATGGTAAGCACCAAAGGAGTTACACTTGGAGACACTTGGAGATCAGAAATTATTAAGACTGTCAACTAATTGCAAGATGTTGCATAGAAAGGAGGCAAAAATGAAATAAATGCAGCAAGAATAAGCTTTCTTTAGAGTCTTCTCTCAGAAGTTCTAGAGATGTTAGAACAGATAAAACAGGGGCAAAGCAGAGGGATGTTTTGTCCAGTTTGTGTTTGTCTTTATTATTAAATAATGATGAGACTTAGAAACAACATGATGTAAAGGGAAAAAACAAAGACCAGGCAACCATGAGTTTTAGTCACTTACTAGCTAGGTGACCTTGAGTAAGTCACTTACATTCTCTGAGCTTCACTTTCCACATCTAATTGGGAATGATAACTGCGTATTGGGAGGATAAGTGATAATATGTAAAGGGCTTGAATATCAAGAAACATAGCCCCAAAGGACAACAAAATTAAATCACTAGTCTTCTAGCCTAATGAAAACTGTAGACCCCCACAAGGATATTTCACTCTAGCCATCGCTGACAATACCTTTTTGAATATACCTCCCCTCCCCCACTTTTTCCTTAAAGAGACTCTCCTTTTTGCCATTGAGTTGTTCATTTGCTTCTCATATTACTCATTATTAAGTAATGGGTACTCTCAAGATCAAAATCACACATCACAGCTAAAAAGAGCTGACCTATTTTACAAACACTAAAGAATTTAGAAATCTAATATATTTACCAACTGACACACTACTGTTTCACAAAGCCAGCAGAGAGATTCACTGCCCATTAATTTCAGTTTGTGTAGTTAGCTTCACTCTATATATGGTTAATTTCACTTACTGGAGCTAAAGTTCAAACACTGCCTGGAATGTTTTCATTTATATTTCACTAATATACTAATTTACCCATCTCTGACATGTGGGATGTCCACTGGTCTGGATGTGATTAGTGAACCGGCATTTCATTGACTTAAAAATTTTCCCCATACTGATGCTTGCTGCTCACTTTGTCATCAAGGAAGAGCTAGCGTTGGCTGACAGAAAAGAAAAGAAAGAAGAGTTTGTAGTTTCTTCAGTCAGAGAACAGAAGGGGGCAAGGATTCTGTAGCCATTACAACGGAGTTTTATAACTAGACATAGCACATGTGCACATGTGTGCACCCATATATATACACACTCAGAGACACTCTAGTCTCTTCCAGTTCATTTTCCAACCCTAATACAGATACATCCAGATAGACATTGGTACAAGGAATGAGCCATTCACACAGGTTTCTTCAAGCAAGCATGTTCATATGTTCCCATAATGACATGCATAGACACAAAGCTAACTTCACTCAGAGGTGCATGCATATATTATTCTCAGATCTACTCAAATATTTACCCACATAAGTCATCTACCAGACAGTTAACTAGAGAGGTGTTGAGGTGGATGACTTGGTAAATAAGAGATGTTTGGCTGGATAGAAAAAGGAAGAGACTGGGGGAAAATGGGATTGATAGAAGAGAAAAAGTAGCAAATTAGTCACCCAAGCAAACTCAAGCTGCCATGAAAGTCAATCTAGTCCTGAAATCTGAGACTTTGCTCATACCAGTGGGGAACCTAGGGAAGATGTCTAAGCAGAATGAAGGATGCCCACCTCAGCATCCCACCAATCACCCCAAATAGGTATAAGGAGCTGCAAACTCTTCTTTATAATTAGCCCAAAAGGCTTTGTGCTTCTTGTCCTTATGGAAGTTCGGTTTTTTGGGGGGTTTGTTTTTTTTTTTTTTATCTTATACCTCTTCCTATTCTTTTGTTTTGTTTTGTTTTTTAACAAGAATTTTTTCTTTTCTTTATTTCTAACTTTATTTTTTATGTTGTGTTAGTCACCATACAGTACGTCATTAGTTTTTGATGTAGTATTCCATGATTCATTGTTTATTACACCCAGTGCTTCATGCATCACTTCTTTTTTTTTAAGATTTTATTTATTTATTTGATAGAGAGCATGAGAGGAGAGAGATCAGTGGGAGAAGCAGACTCCCTGCTGAGCAGGGAGCCTGATGTGGGACTCGATCCCAGGACTCCAGAATCATGACCTGAGCTGAAGGCAGTTGCCCAACCAACTGAGCCACCCAGGCGCCCCATGCATCACTTCTTATTCTTGTTATAGATCATCAACTAATGGCATTGCTACTTTCTTTTGCTTTCCACCAATGACATAATATTGCCTAGAATTACCTGAGCTAAGCCATTCTTTTTGTGTGGTATCTCATCTAATGCCCTATGAGTTAGTTTCGAGCCTTTCCTTCGAGTCATCTACATTCTTGATCCTGAATCTCACTCTTGAGAGACTTTCTTTCAATAACAGTTGTACTCAGGTGCATTATGAGGGTTAGATGAACTAACATTTGTTAAAGATGGTTTTAAAATACAGGAAGAAGATTGGTAAGCCATCCTTATGCTAATTTAACATCCTTCTGTGGTATGAACTGAACAAATTTGAGAGAGACTATAGACCCCCTGTTTTGCGGCACTGTGCTTGTATTAATGCAGCTCAAAGAAGCATGAGATTTTTCTTGAAAAGCTCTTTCAGGCTGTTGGGCCATCTGTAGTTTAAAGTCAACTTAAATCCTCTAAGCCCTTTTCACACTTGATGCTGCCAAACCAAGTTCGTGTTGTCCTATTCCAGTATGATTTATGTCCTTGGTCCTAAAAATCCTGGCTTCACATTTATCCTATTTTCATCTTGTTGACTTTGACCTATCCGCCCTTTGAGGTTATTTTTCAATCTTTATTCTATTTTTTTAAAGATTTTATTTATTTATTTGAGAGAGAGAGACACAGCGAGAGAACACAAGCAGAGGGAGTGGGGAGGGAGAAGCAGGCTTCCCGCCAAACAGAGAGCCTGATGTGGGGCTCGATCTGAGGACCCTGGGATCATGACCTGGGCTGAAGGCAGACGCTTAATGGTACTGAGCCACCCAGGCACCCCATTCAATCCTTTTTCTGTCATCCAATAACTTTCCTTCTAGCTTTGAGTACTTCAGAGTTGAGAAGTCTTCTATGTTTTCATTTGAATTGTTGATTAAAATTATGAAACAGTAGAGGACACCCCCTACAATTAACATCAGCCTATTCAAATGCAACTTCGTGGGCACACTTACCTGGTTGTGAATCTGCCTAACATTGCTACATTCCAGCCCACGATGCCACACAATTTTGTCACCTCTTCACAAGATTCTCTTGACAAACTTGGCCTTGCTGGAATTCAGATGCTCTGGGGAAATGCTAGATGTTGCTGTCCCTGTCTTCTCCTAGGGATAGCTTTCTGCCAGCACTTCTTCCTCTTGTCTTCCCATATGTGACCAAATTAGGTTTGACACTGAAGTTTAAGTTGGCTTAATTACAGAATTTTCTTTTTATCTCAGTTTTACACCCCCATCCTGGATTATTTTATTAATCATTGCAACATGATGCTATTATACATATGTAGAAATGAACACCCAGAGAAGTTAAGATGTTTGCTGTAGGTTAGTGAATAAATCTGGAGGGCAACCAGCTATGGCACACAGCTGCATTCTGTTGTAGAAGTACACTGCAGAAGGCAGCCCATGCTCCAAGCTGCCAAATGGATCTACAAATGATTTCAGCTACAACTTCATGGCTATTTAATTTATAGATAACATTAACATAATTATTTTTCCTATTTCTTAATTTAATTCTTGACTAGTTAATATAGTCACATGGTTCAAACTTTTTAAAGTAGAAACACATATGCACATGTTTAGTAAAAACTTACTATCCTTTCTCTCAATCTTCTCAATCTCCCATAGCCCCATCCAATCCCCACTCACAAAAAGTTGATTGCTGCCATTAGTTTATTGAATAGCTTCCAGTATTTTTTCCTGTATATACTACTAAATATAAACATATATTTTTATCCCTTCCCTTTTTAATACTATACACATTCCTCTGAACCTCGTCTCTTTTTCCTTCACAGCATATTTTGGAGATCTTTTTGATCAACAGAAGATTGCTTCCTCATTCCTTTTTACAGCTACAAGATACTCTATTATATGAATATATGCCATAATTTATTTGAGCAGTCCTCTAATTTCAAAGTTTTCGGTCTCTTGCTATTACAACAATGCTGCAATGAACAATCTCATGCAGGTCATTTTACATATAAATCTATAGGAAAAATTCCCAGAAGTGTAATTACTGGGTCATAATGCATAGGCATTTATAATTTTCATAGATGCTGTCAGATTGCCCCCCATAGGGCTTGTGTCACTTTGCACTTCCACCCTCAGTGAGAGTTCATATTTTCTGTCTTCCTCAATCAAGTGTATCATCTATTTTTTTTTTTTTGCCAGTTTTCTGGGTAAGAAAAAAATGGTACCATGGCCTGGTTTTAATCAGTATCTTTCTCATTTATGAATGAGTTTGGTCATCTTTTCACCTTTAAGAAACAATTTATATTTATTTTTCTTATCAATTTAACACCTATCTCATTTTCATCTCAACACTGGGAAACAAGTTAGTTTTTCAAATGGCCCACTATGCAGATAAGGAAACAGAGGTCCAAACAGCTCACAGTAGTTGGTCTCAGTGCCACTGCTGCGTCCCCTCTAGAAGGGGACTAACCCATCTGTTAAAAATCACTGGGCATACATAGGTCTATTCCAGGACCTCTGGCAGTGGGAGTCCTTGTTTCTAAGCATAGCTCACAGTTCCTCTAGATGTTGACAGCAACATGTTTCCATAAATCTTTTCACTGGAGTACATACCCAAAGTCACATGATCCCCTGGAGGGTGTTAGCAGAAGGTTGCTGAATAAGGAAAGGAAGCTCAGAGCAGAATCAGCTTCTCAAACAAAGGAGAGGTAAGCTTGAGGCCAGGCCATGAGTTGATCCCTACATTGCTGGTTGGATGAGGAGCAAGCACATAAAACATTAATACTTTTTTTAGGAGTGTGTAAGGTGGCTCAGTTGGTTAAGTGTCTAAATCTTGATTTTGGCTCAGGTCATGATCTCCATGTTGTGAGATAAGTCTCCATCCTGGGCACGGAGACTACTTAAGATTCTCTCTCTCCCTCTCCCTCTGATCTTTCCTCATACCCACACTACCCCACCCATGTGTGTGCACATGCCCTCTCTCCTTAAGAAAAAAATAAGGGGCGCCTGGGTAGTTCAGTCATTAAGCATCTGCTTTTGGCTCAGGTCATGATCCTGGGATCCTGGGATCAAGCCCCACACCAGGCTCCCTGATCGGTGGGAAGACTGCTTCTCCCTCTCCCACACCCCCTGCTTTTGTTCCCTCTCTCACCGTGTCTCTCTCCATGTCCAATAAATAAATAAAATCTTTTTTAAAAAAAGAAAGGAAAAAAAATAAGTAAAATAAAAATAAAATGGTATGACCTTTTTTGATGATTTTCTTCATATATCTTATGGCCTGACCCCTAATGTTTTGTACTATACTAAACAGTCTCACCCTGATTTTTTAACTGCTTCCTCACATCTCATTGTCATTTTGTATGGTTCTGTCATCTCTCTGACCTCATTTCTGCCACTCTGCCCCTCACTCACTCCACAATAGTCATGCCATTCTGTTCAGTGGCCCTCGATACCCCAGACATTCTCCCTTCTCTGAGTCCTAGCACTTATTCTTTCTTCTGCTCCCAAAACTCTCCCCCCGCCATATATGCATTGCTCACTTTTTTACTTCATTCAAGTCTCATCTCAAATGTCACCTCCCTAGAGAAGCTGTCCCTTACCACCCCATCTAAAATAACACCCCCTTTAGTCTCTATCCTGTTTCCCTCACTTCTTTTTCTTCATATGATGTTCTTTTCTATATTACTTTGTTTTGTTGTGATTTCCACCATTAGAATATAAGTTCCACAAGAGCAGAGACTATTTCTATCTTGCCCACCACTGTATTCTCAGAACATAAGAAGAACAAGCACAGAGAATGCCCTCAATACATGTTTGTTGAATGAATGAATTAATGTCTTAACTAGCATTGCATCAACATACTACCTTTTGTAAAACAAATATTGAAAAGGGTACTATCTTCAGGTAATGTGTTCAGGGAGAGTAACTACTTCCAAGATATGCTACTGAAGGAACATGGCAACTCCCCTTGTAGCTGTGAGTCCTAACAAGCCCTGAAAATTTGGTGCCTGACTGGCTAACTGGCTAAGGATGCCTTCAAGTTGTACTGGCCAGTGAGTAGGAATTGGCCCATAGAGGAAGACTGCTTTAAGTTTTTCCAGGCAAAACAGCCATGAAATCTGCTCATGCCAGCAGTATTCCTCCAGGCTCACTTTCACCCCAATTACAACAAATGGGACATCTCAACCCACCTCCCTCCCTGTGCCCTGCACAATTCAGGAGTGAGCCACATGACTTTTGCCCTTTGCATTTATTTTTGCTGGGGTATCCCTGGCAAACCAAAGCTCAGAGTTTAGGGGCTCACGATTTGTCTCATCTCCTAGGGGGCCATTGCTCACTGCCTGTCTCCCTCCCAACAGGCTCTAACACTCAGCATGAGCTGGCAGGCACTGACAATTTAGGCTGCTATAACTTCACTTCCCTATAGGGAACTTCAGAGTTAGGAATTATTAAAAGACTCTCTCTTGTTCAGACAATTTCCCTATAGTCTTGTTTCCCCTGAAAGTTGGTGTGATAACTGGGATTGCCCTGCCAGAGCCTTGGAGGGTTGATTAAATTTCCCTCCTTCCTCCCACATTGATATGTTTTCTGTCATTACCTGCTGTCTAAAAGACAGCCTTGCCCCCCCTCCTCTCTCCTTACCTGATATCCTCTCACTGTGAGAACTGAACTATCCCAGGCAAAGAGAGAACTAATTGGTATTCTGATCCTCCTCTCCAGCTTTCAATCCTCTCCTTCTTCAGTTTCCCCATGGTGTTTTATTAATCCCTCATTGTAGCACCAATTTCCTTAATCTTTGTGTTCCAACATACTACTGTGTATAAGTCTGTTTCCCCAGCTGGAGGACAGGAGCTGTACCCCTAGAAGTACCTAGCATGATGATTGGCATGTAGTAATTGCTCAGCAAATGTTGTTTGCCTGGCAACAGCTGGGCAGACATTAAATGAGAGCCCCTTTGTGTTGTGCTCTGAATTCTCCTCTGCTTCTCAGTCTCAGCAAACTAGAGCATAAGGAAACTCTGAGAGGTTTTGGATATGTCTTTTTGCCTTGCTTGTGGTGATTGTATCATGGGTGTTTGTATATATCTAAGCCCATTAAATTGTATATATTAAATATGTGCCATTCTTTGTTTATCAATTATACCTCAATAAAGCTGTTTTTAAAAAGTCTTTGCAAAATGTGATGTCAAGTCATCTCTTATTTCCATCTCAATGGCCCTTTTCTTTCTTCCTCTTTTCTTTTGGTTGTGTGCATGTATCAGGCCAATTAGTAGTGTCTTCAGACTTCTGGAACCTCGATTGGTCATCAGCCTGTTCATGTCCCCTTCTCATCTTCATCAACTCCAAAAGCGGCGATCACCAAGGGATCGTCTTCCTCCGAAAATTCAAGCAGTACCTTAACCCGTCTCAAGTTTTTGACCTGTCGAAGGGTGGACCTGAAGCCGGGTAAGCATGGGCTAAGGGATACAGTTGAGTATATAGAAGGAACTCTTCGTACTATACATTTTAGAGTAAAGGTTTCTGGAATCAGTTCTAGTACCTGGGCACAATCAAGTCAGGATGCAAACACATAAATTCAGAGCATTTGGGGTTTGCTAGTTGGAGGATTTTTAGCCCTCTCCCAGAAATCCCTTCAAGCTCATGTTCTGCTCTCAGATTCATTCCACCTTTCCTGGTTGGAAGAAGTCTAACTGTGTCTCCTGACCTCAGGGGAAGAGGCAAATGGGTATTGCTGTTCACCTTTCCTGTCCTCATTCTTTCCTGGGACCAAATAGATATATCTCCACTATAGACCTGTTTTACTTATGGACTATCTGGCTGTTCAGCTCTGGTTTCTGTGAAGTCACTGTCCACTGTACAAGGCTTCTTGGGCCTCAGCAAGTGGGTTTGGCTAGGTTACGAGTAGCTTCTAGAGCAAGGGTTGGCATAGAAGAGGGTGGGCTGAAGCAAGGCCTCATCTCCAGGACTGCCTATGGGAGCATTGCCTGTGATGTTAGGTACACAGAAAGATAGGAGCTAAGTGAAAGAAGGTGGATAGACTGTTAGCAGGATGCAGAAGCAGTAGTCCTTAGCTCCCAGCACAGTATAGAAAAGAGTTGTAAAACCTAGTAGTTCATGAAATGACTCCTGTTCCCCTCTTTCTTTCAGGCTATGCATGTTCAAGAATTTTTCTCGCTTTCGCATTGTGGTTTGTGGTGGAGATGGCAGTGTGAGCTGGGTCTTATCTCTGATTGACACCTTTGGATTACATGAAAAGGTGAGTTCTTGCTGACTCAGTTCAATCATTGCTAGAGAGACTGTGGGTATGGACCTGCTCATCCCAAAATGTCCTTAGTCTTCACTCTCCTTAACTATGCAGCACATGTTTTCCACTGGTTTCATAGTCAACCTGACAGGGAGATTCTCACTCTAAGCTTCCTCACCTAAACCATTTTCTGTGGGAAGGAGAAATGAGGGAGTTAGCAGAAAGAATGAGCAGTGCTTTATGCCCCAGGCCCCCAAGTAAATATTTGAAGGAAAGGAGAGCAAGCAAAAAGAAGTGGCTTCAGGCCACATTCAGCCTCCAATTTCCTTCCCCTCTTGAGGCCACCAGTTTCCTTTCCTGAGTCTCAAAAGTAGCAGAAACTTTCCTCTCACTTTCCTCCCTCACCCTAGATAGCTCCCTGTTCTTCTGACTTTAGTAGCTTTGTCTCCCGAGGCACCTTATCTTCTTGGCCAAGGCTTGATAGAAATTTGTGGCTATATTTCTCTTTCATAAGCATGGCTATAAATATTGGCATATTCTAACTTTTCCCTGCACTGAGTACGTTCTGTATTGCCAAGAGTGGTGCCAAACTTTTCAGGAAAAAATTCACTTAGCATCAATATCTCCCTATTACACTTCCTAACATCAGAAGTCTCTTATTGCCACTGGTTTTTAGACCACTATCTTTCCCAAGGAGCACCTTCTGGGTTCTTTTATGGGTGGATCATGATAGAATTGACTGAAAATGGTTCCTGGTTTTGTTCTTGTAGTGTCAGTTGGCAGTCATCCCACTTGGAACTGGCAATGATCTGGCCCGTGTCCTAGGCTGGGGTGCATTCTGGAACAAAAACAAGTCACCTATTACCATACTCAACAGAGTGGAGCAGGCTAGTGTGAGGATTCTAGACAGGTGAGTGGCTGAATGATCAGGTCATTGTGCCTGTTCCAGTCCCCTATCAGTTACTCTCATTTACATCATCTCAATCATGAATATTCTAACCTCCCTCACAGAGCCTCATTCTTTTCTGGCTTCAGTGCAGGGCAGTTTTGGGTGGCCTTGTCTATTAGGAAGTCAGGATCTACCATGATTCTTTTAGACATCACTGAAGCCCCTGTTCAAACTTAAAAGATCCTAAATCAGGAGCCCCACAGGTAAATTTTAAGAGTTCTATAAACCTCCTTCAAATTGCATAGCTAATTATCTATGTAAGCATATTTTTCCCCCTTGGGAATGTTTCTATCTTTCTATTCTATTCCAGAATAGTATAGAAACCATTCTATAGCTTCATCAGCTTTTCAAAGAAACTCAAAAAACTTAGGGTTCAGAAATAATTGGCTTAGATTGTCTCTGCTTTAGAGAAGAATGAGTATTGCCATCCTATCTCCTGAAAAGAGATAGGGTCAATGCTGGGTCATAGTATTTAATTTATGGCTGTCCATAAGGATATTCTGGGAAGCTTTTTCAAGATACCAAGCTGAAGCCACCACAAAGACTCTTATTCAGTATGTCTTGGGTAGGACACTGGCATATTTATGTTACAAAAGCACCTAAAGTGATCTTGATAGTTAACTCTCTGGTTGAGAAGCACTGTCCTCTGACCCTGTGATGAAATTCTTTCCATCACACTGGTCTTAAGAAGTATTGAGGCAGAGGCCCCACTTGTAGTATATTTGAGATCAGATGACCTGAGATAGTGTGGGCATCTCTACAACTCATCTTCCCTCACCACATAAACATTTTGACCTTTTTCTTGCTATGTGAAGCATTGATGACAGCCTGTGACAAAACAGAGCCCTAAATATCTGTCTGTCCTTGACCTTCATTTCAGATGGAGTGTGATGATCCGTGAGACTCCAAGACAAACCCCATTGCTAAGAGGACAGGTTGAAATGGATGTACCCCGATTTGAGGTAACTACTGCCCAGCTGTAATTCAAGCCAACACCTTTATTACATAGTGAAATAAAAGGCAAAACCCAGAGAGAAGATTTTGTATTGTCCATGGACTCAATGAGCATAAGATCATTGAAGACCAGAGACATGTCAATAAGCAGCTTTTACTAGGAATGGTGTTAGACACTGGGGATATAATTCATTCAGCCATTTACTTATTCATTCATTCAAATTATGTATGAAAATACTTCTGGATTACCTACTATATGTGAGACACTGTTCTAGGAGCTGTTCTTATGTACTAGTAGGTAAAAAAGAATGACACAGTTCATGCTGTCATGGAGTTCGTAGTAATAGAAACAATAGTTTTAATAAAGTAGTATGAGTGTTAGTATATGAGGAAGTAGAAAGTGGTGTGAACACCCAGCAGGTGTACCAAGTCCAATCTGGGGGAAATCAAGGAAAGATTCTCAGAAACACCATTTCAGAAAAGATTGAAGGACCAGAGGGAGTTAATCAGGATATTAAGAAAGAGGATGCCTGTTCCAGACAGATTGAATAGTGTGTGTTGTTCCAAAGGCAAGACGGAGCATAGAATATTCACAGAACAGAATGGAATATTCACATACATTTATTAATGGCTAAAGCATTGGGGTCAGGGAGGAGAAATGCAGAGAGAATGACTAAAGATGAGGCTGGAAAAGCAATCAGGGCCCAGGCCAGGAAGAACCCAGTAACCCATGGTAGGAAGTTTGGGCTTTTGCCCTAAAGAGAATTATAGGATTTTTTTCCTTATATTATTATGAGAATTTTCAAACATACTAGCTTCTTGAATTCAATAGTAGAATTAGTTAGGACTCTAGCCTATAGGATGTAACTCTCAAAGACATAAAAAAGCTTATTTCAATATAAATTACATTTTTAAGATTTTATTTGTTTATTTGACAGAGAGAGACACGGCTAGAGAGGGAAAACAAGCAGGAGGAGTGGGAGAGGGAGAAGCAGTCTTCCCGCCTAGCAGGGAGCCTGGTGCGGGGCCTGATTCCAGAACCCTGGGATCATGACCTAAGCCAAAAGCAGATGTTTAACGACTGAGCCACCCAGGTGCCCCTATGAATGACATTTTATTGGCCATCTGCTATATATATATCATAGTACATATTATTAGGTACTATATTAAAGTTTGAGATATATAGTGCCAATAAGTATGCAAACCTACATATATAAAATGGTAGAATCTACCATTAAATTTCACTATACTTGCTTTATCACATATGTGTCCATATATCCATTCTGTTATCTAATAGATAGCATTCTGCTATCTACTAGAAGGGTTTTAAGTAGAATTCCATGGTACATGGAAAAACAATTGAAGGAATAAAGACTAGAGGCAAGGAGAAAAGAGAGGAGATGCTGCAATTATCTAGGCAAAAGATTATGGTGATTTGAACTGGTGAAGTGGTAACAGGGATAAGAAGTGGGCATGTTTAAGACATATAGGAGGAATAGAATCATCAGGACTTGGTACATATTTGAATGAAAGAGGTGATGGGAGAGGGAAGAGTAGCAGCTGTAGTTAAGAATACAGACTCGGGGCTCCTGGCTAGTTCAGTTGGTAGAGCATGTGACTCTCAATCTCAGGTCCATGAATTCAAATTCCACATTGGGCACGAAGCCGGGGGGGGGGGGGGGGAAGAACACTGACACAAGAGCCAGACTACCTGGAATCAAATACTGGCTCTGCCACTTATCAGCTTACCCCTTTCCTATGCCTCAGTTTGCTGTTCTGTGAAATGGGGTTATTACAAGAATTACATAAGAAAATATTTATATATAGCATAGAACAGAGCCTGGTACATTGTAAGTACTATATAAGAGAATGTTATTGTTATTACTAATATTATTATAATAAGAGGTAACACTCTGGCATTGGAAAGATGTAGGTTCAAATCCCAGATCTATTATTTACTAGCTATGCAATATGAGCTTGTTTGTTCATTTGAAATATGGAACAAAAATTTACCTCCATGAGTTTTTGAGAATTATTTAAATGACAGCAAACAATATACATCTCTTATTTTTAGAATGACCACAGATCTAAGATTATCTATGGGGTCCTTCAAAAAGAATTATTTGATTGTGATTATTTTCAGCGAGGCAGTTGAGTTGTTGGTAAAGAGTAAGAAATAATGAGATAAAGCTTGGCAGCAGACTATGTCTCAGTCCTGAGATTCAAGAGCTGAACACTCATTTCTCTCTAGGCTGCTGCCATCCAACATCTAGAATCCGCAACCACTGAGCTGAACAAAATCCTGAAGGCCAAGTACCCTACAGAGATGATCATCGCAACAAGGTCAGTCTTCCTTTGGCTTTCAAACTGGGGTGTTTTTATTCCCTTCATGGGCTGTTCCTCAGTCAGAGAAGGAGCTCATTTTGATAGGTTGGGGTACTGAGGCCAAGGAAAGTTATCAAATTTCTCCCAACTCAAACCACCTGAATGAAAAAATAGATGAGATTGAGGTGAGGGCTCCTGCCAGTCCAAAAAGACAGAATTACAAGCCAGAGATTTGGAAAAAGGGTTACAGAAGAGAAACAACATTCCACACTATTCAAGGGCATAACATAACTCCCTACAGTAGGAACACCTTGCTTTCCATCTGACACTGGGAAAGGTCTCTGTAGAATTGATGACAGCTGCTTTCTCATATCCTAAACAACACATTCTGCCCTTCCAAATATGTGGGTCATTCATTTCTCCTGGGACACTTTGGATGGTTCCTGATGAGTCTGCCACATTCTCCTTTGATAAATACTCCCCTCAGGGACAGTCCTCCCAAAGCCACTATGTTTGTACTAAATTATATGGGTGGGCCCTTGAACCATAGCCGATTTGACCCAGGTGAGAACCTGACCCAAGGTGGATCAACTGAATTTTCTTTTCTGGAAATTCTGAACTTAGGGCTAAGAAAATCTAATTAAACTCTCTTAGGTACTCATGTATTTGACCATATATACATGAAAAAATAGAAAAACAAAGGGAGAGGGGAGAGGAAGGAAAGGGAGAGATTACAGATCAGGAAAGAGAGACAAGGAAAGAGAAGGTGGAAGATGGACTTTATAAGACAGAAGGGCTCTGGACATTATGATCCATATCACATTGTCCCATATATCTTATCTTTGCAGATTCCTGTGTTCAGCAGTGGAAGATTTTGTGGTGGATATTGTAAAGGCTTGGAGTCAGATAAAACAGAACAATACAGCTATAGAATCTGTGATTTTGAAAGTAAGTTTCCATTCCTTTTATCTTCCATGCTTTGTGGAGCCAGGGCCTCCTTTTTATCTTTTATTTTTTAATTTATTATTGTTGTTCCATTAAAATTAACATACACTATTATGTTAGTTTCAGGTGTACTATATAGTGATTCAACTATTCTGTACATTACTCAGTGCTCATCATGATAAGTGTACTCTTAATCTCGTTGACACCTATTTCATCCATCCTCCAACAACCTCCCCTCTGGTAACCATCAGTTTGTTCTCTACACTTGGGAGTCTGTTTTTTGGTTTCTTTTTTCTTTCTTCTTTTGTTTTGTTTCTTAAATTCCAAATAAGAATGAAATCACTTGGTATTTGTCTTTCTCTGACTGACTTATTAGCTTAGTATTGTGCCCTATAGATCCATCCATATTGTTGTAAATGGCAAGACGTCATTATTTTTTATGGATGAGTAATATTCCATTGTATGTATATAACACATCTCTTTATCCACTTATCCATGGATGGACACGTGGCTGTTGTAAATAATGCTGCAATAAACATAAGGGTGCATGTATCTTTTAAAATTAGTATTTTCATTTTCTTTGGGTAAATAACCAGTAGTGGAATTACTGGATCCTATGTTAATTCTATTTTAATTTTTTGAGGAACCTCCATACTGTTTTCCAGAGTGGTTACAACAGTTTGCATTCCCAGTAACACTGTAAGAGGGTTCCCCTTTCCCCACATCCTCGCCAATACTTGTTGTTTATTGTGTTGTTCATTTTAGCCAGTCTGACAGGTGTGAGTTGATAGCTTGTTGTGGTTTTGACTTGTATTTCCCTGATGATGAGTGATGTTGAGCATCTTTTAAAGTGTCTGTTGGCCATCTGGATGTCTTCCTTGGAGAAGTGTCTGTTCATGTCTTCTGGCCATTTTTTAATTGGATTATTGGTGTTTTAGGTCTTGAGTTGTGTCAATTCTTTATATATTTTAGATACTAACCCTCTGTCAGACATGTCATTTGCAAATATCTTCTCCCATTCCATAGGTAACCTTATAGTTTTGTTGATTATTTCCTTCACTGTGCAGAGCTTTCTATTTTGATGTAGTCCCAATATTTTATTTTTGTTTTTGTTTCCCTTGTCTGAGGGGACCTATCTAGAAAAAGTTACTACAACTGATGCCAGACAAGTTACTGCCTGTGCTTTCTTCTAGGATTTTATAATTTCATGTCTCACATTTAGGTCTTTCACCCATTTTCAATTTGTTTTTGTGTATGGCATAAGAAAGTGGTCCAGTTTCTTTCTTTTGCATGTTAATGTCCAGTTTTCCCAACACAATTTGTTGAAGAGACAATTTTTTCCCATTGGATAGTCGTTCCTGCTTTGTTGAAGATTAACTGACCATATAATTATGGGTTTACTTCTGGGTTTTCTATTCTGTTCCACTGATCTGTGTGTCTATTTTTGTGCCATTATCATACTGGTTTCTTTCTATTTTTATTTTATTTCTTTTCAGTGTTCCAAAATTCATTTTTTATGCAACACACCCAGTGCTCCATACAATACATGCCCTCCACAATACCTACCACCAGACACCCAACCTCCCACCCCCTCCCCTCCAAAACCCTCAGTTTGTTTCTCAGAGTCCACAGTCTCTCATGGTTTGTCTCCCGCTCCGATTTCCCCCAACTCACCTCTCTCCATCTCCCAATGTCCTCTGTGTTACTCCCTATGCTCCACAAGAAAGTGAAACCATATGATAATTGACTCTCTCTGCTTGACTTATTTCACTCAGCATAATCTCCTGCAATCCCCTCAATGTTGATACAAAAGTTGGGTATTTATCCTTTCTGATGGAGGCATAATATTCCATTGTATATATGGACCATTATCTTTTTTATCCATTTGTCTGTTGAAGGGCATCTTGGTTCTTTCCACAGTTTGGCAACTGTGGCCATTGCTGCTATGAACATTTGGGTACAGATGGCCCTTCTTTTCACTACATCTGTATCTTTGGGGTAAATCCCCAGTAGTGCATTTGTAGAGTCATACAGTAGCTCTATTTTTAATTTCTTAAGGAATCTCCACACTGTTTTCCAAAGTGGCTGCACCAACTTGCATTCCCACCAACAGTGTAAGAGGTTTCTCCTTTCTCCACATCCTCTCCAACACACATTGTTTACTATCTTGTTAATTTTGGCCATTCTAACTGGTGTAAGGTGGTTTCTCAATGTGGTTTTGATTTGAATCTCCCTGATTGCTAAGGGTGATGAACATTTTTTCATGTGTCCATTAGCCATTTGTATGTCTTCTTTGGAGAAGTGTCTGTTCATGTCGCCTGCCCATTTTTTGACATTATTATCTGTTTTGTGTGTGTGTTGAGTTTGAGGAGTTCCTTATAGATCTTGGATATTATACTGTTTTGATTACTACAGCTTTGTAATATAACTTGAAGTCCAGAATTATGGTACCTCTAGTTTTGCTTTCCTTTCTCAAGATTGCATTGACTATTCTGGGTCTTGTGTTTCCATACACATTTTAGGAGAATTTGTTCCAGTTCTGTGAAAAATACTGTTGATAACTTGACAGAGATTGCATTGATGTGTAGATTGCTTTGGGTAGTATAGACATTTTAACAATATTTGTTCTTCTAATGCATGAGCATGGACTATCTTTCCATCTCTTTGTGTCATCTTCAATTTCTTTCATCAATATTTTAGTTTTCAGAGTACAGGTCTTTCACTTCTGTGGTTACATTTATTCCTAAGTATCATATTATTTTGGGTGCAATTGTAAACAGGATTGATTCCTTAATTTCTCTTTCTGTCACTTCATTATTGGTGTATAGGAATGCAGCAGATTTCTATACATTGATTTTGTACCCTACAACTTTATTGAATTGGCTCACCAGTATTACCAGTTTTTGGGTGGAGTCATTCTGGTTTTCTATATATAGTATCATGTCAAATGCAAATAGTGAATGTTTGACTTCCTCTTAGCCCATTTGGATGCCTTTTATTTCTTTGTGTTGTCTGACTGCTGTGACTTGGACTTCCAGTACTATGTTGAATAACAGTGGTGAGAGTAGACACCCTTGTCTTGTTCCTGACCATGGAAAAGCTCCCAGTTTTTCCCTGTAAGAATGATGTTACCTGTGGGTTTTTTGATAAATGATCTTTATTATGTTGAGGTATCTTTGTGGGCTTATTTCTGGGCTCTGTCTATTGTTCTATTGATCTATGTGTTGATTTTTGTTCCAGTACCATACTGTTTTGATTACTACAGCTTTGTAGTACATCTTGAAATCTAGGATTGTAATACCTCCAGTTTTGTTCTTCTTCCTCAGGATTGCTTTGGCTATTTAGGGTCTTTTGTCATTCCATAAAAAGTTTATGATTACTGTTCTAGTTCTGTGAAAAATGCTGTTGGTAATTTGATATGTATTTCATTAAATGTGTATATTGCTTTGGGTAGTATGGACATTTTAACAATATTTGTTTTCCCAATCCATGAACATGGAATATCTTTCCATTTGTGTCATCTTTAATTTCATTCATCAGTGTTTTATAACATTCAGAGTACAGATCTTACACTGCCTCAGTTAAGTTTATTATTTTTGGTGAAATTGTAAATGGGATTGTTTTCTTAATTTCTCTTTCTGCTACTTCCTTACTAGTGCATAGACTGCTTTAGATTGATTTTGTATTCTGCAACTTTACTGAATTCATTTTTTTTTTTTGCCCTAGTAGTTTTTTGGTGGAGTCTTTTTAGGGTTCTCTATATACAGTATCATTTCATTTGCAGATAGTAAAAGTTTTACTTCTTCCTTAACGATTTGGATGCCTTTTATTTCTTTTTGTTGTCTGATTGCTGTGGCTAGGACTTCGAGTAGTATGCTGAATAATAATGGTGAGGGTGGGCATCCTTGTCTTGTTCCTAATCTTAGGGGAAAGCTCTGTTTTTTCACCATTTACTATGGCTGACTGTGGGCTTTTCATATATGGCCTTTATCATGTTGAGGTATTCCCTATAAAACTACTTTCTTAAGGGTTTTTATCATGAATGGATGTGTACTTTGTTAGATGCTTTTTCTATATCTGTTGAAATGATCACATGATTTTTATCCTTTCTATTGTTGATGTGGTGTGTAACACTGATTAATCACAAATATTGAATCACCCTTGCCTCTGAGGAATAAATCCTACTTGATAATGGTGAATGATTTTTTAATGTACTGTTCGGTTCAGTTTGCTAATATTTTGTTGAAGGTTTTTGCAGCTATGTTCTTAGAGATATTGGCCTATAGTTCCCCTTTTTTATATTGTGTTTATCTGGTTTTGTTATCAGATTAATGCTGGCTTCATAGAATGAATGTAGAAGCTTTCCCTCCTCTTATGTTTTTTGGAATAGTTGAGAATGGGTTTTAACTCTTCTGTAAATTTTCAGTAGAATTCATCTATGAAGCCAGCTGGTCCTGGTCTTTTGTTTGTTGGGGATTTCTTGATTGGTGATTCAATTTCATTGCTGGTAATCAGTCTGTTCAAATTTTTTATCTCTTCCTAGTTCAGTTAAGGAAGGTGATTTTTTTCCTAGGAATTTGTCCACTTATTCTAGGTTGTCCAATTGGTTGATGTATAATTTTTCATAATATTCTCTTGTAATCCTTTGTGTTTCTGCATCATCAGTTGTTATTTCTCTTATTTCTCTCTGATTTTGTTTATTCTTCTCTCTCTCTCTTTTGGTAAGTCTGGTTAAAGGTCTATCAATTTAGTTTGTCTTTGCAAAGAACCAGCTCCTGGTTTTATTGATCTATTCTATTGGTTGTTTAATTTCTATTTCACTTATTCTGCTCTCATTTTTATTATTTTCTTCCTCGTACTGTTGTTGGATTTGGTTTTTTTCTTTTTTCAATCTCCTTTAGATGTAAGGTTGGGTTTTTGATATTTTTGAGATTTGAGATTTTTCTTGCTTTTTGAGGTAGGCCTATATTGCTATAAACTTCCCTCTTCAAACAGCCTTTCCTATATCCCAAAGGTTCAGGATTTTGTGTGTTCAT